GCTGAGAACCTTTTACTAATGCTTCACTAACTGTAGAAAAATAAGGCTGAAAGGGATGTCAAGAGGTTATCTTGCCAAATCCTCTGCTCAAGCCAGGATCATCCCGGTGTGAACCATCAAAGATAAATATTTGTCTACCATGCACCTAAATGTTTCCAATTATGAAGATTCCACAAGCTGTCTAAATGATCTGATCCAGTATTTAACTAACTTCATAGTGTGAGTTACCAGATGGCTCCAGATAGGGATGCACCAATAGAGATTTTTTGGGCTGATACCGATGGACAATTTTTAAGAAGCCATATTGGCTGATACCAATCCAATTCTGATGTGCCACCAGGCAGCTTGGAGACCAGTGTGGGGCTGGTAAGTCTGGTGTGGCGGAAGGGATGTGGGGAGGGAAGAGGTGTGGGGGGGGCAGACTGAGGCCCCAGTGTGAGGGAGGGCTGAGCCAGGCGGGGTGGGGCAGGCGGGGTGAGACACGGGACACCAGATGGTGAGGGGGAGGGCAGCTGCCACCTGGGAGGGCATGGGGTGGTGCCCCCAGATCTGCGCAGGGCAAGGGGGGGCAGGATGCTGTTGCAGGCTGGGGCTGGCAGGGCCTGCATCCACCCCAAAATTTGCCATAGCCCTGCCAACACTCTCTCTCAGTACTGCCACCGCCTGCCTGGAGTGCAGTGTAGTTTAACCCAGCCCTTGCCAGGAAGAGCCCGGCACAACCTCTGGACTCAGCCCACAGTGGCAGCCTGCCTCACCCTGCCCTGCGCAGATCTATGGGCACACCCCTGCATGCCCTCCCGGGGGGTGTACAGTGGCGGAAGCTGCCCCCCACTTCCCCCGCAACCCCCGGAGGAGCTGCTCATGGCTCCGTCCCATTCCCTACCCTGCCTGAGCAGCGCCTGCCCCAGTCCCACTCCCTCCCTCACCCCAAGGGCCTCAATCTGCCCCCCTCCATGCCCCTTCCCTCCCCCCACCCCTTCCTCCACCCCAGGCTTAACAGCCAGATGCTGGTCTCCAAGCTGCTGGGCTGCGCTTCTGACCCCATGAATGCCGCAGCTGTACACGTTCATGGGGCATTTATCAGCCACTTTATCGGCTGCATCAGGCAAAAAAAGCCAATTTCCGATGCTTTCAAGTTTCCCTATATTGGTCCTGATCTGATATAGGACCAATGTATTGGTACACCTCTAGTTCCAGATATTTCTCTTTTTCAATAACCATTCCTCATTTTATCTGGTTTATCATTTTCAGTTGTTGTGAATAGTTTATCCTCTTGTGTAGAGAATCCTTTAATAGGCTTGGACAGTGCAATGTTATTGTTTGGCTCTCTTGTGCTCAGAGCTTTATTGAATCCATTCCATTCACTTCATTAAGCCCTAATTCAGTAAGTAGTTAAGTGGATATCTAACTTTAAACAGACTTCATTGTGACTACTCATATGCTTAAAATTAGGCATCTACTTAATTTAAGTATTTTGCTATATAGAAACTTCACAGGTTGTTTTTCCACATTGTGTCCCAGATTTAGAATTAAGCTTGACAGTGAAAAGTATCAATTGATCCCATCACCATTGTCAAATACAGTCACAAGAATGACTGACCTGATACGTGAAAATAATTGCATTCCACATTTGGAAAGGAATATGTTTCTTGGCATATTTCTTTCTTCAAACCAGGGGAAAAACTTGCTGATACCAGAAAATTAATATTTTCCCTGCTATTACACTGCTGGCTACCAGGTGGCAGCATTGCAGTGATAATAATTATACATTTTTTCTAGAATGTTGTATATTGCCTTACGTTTATTTATAATTATAAAGTGCCTTTAATACCAAAAGTGGTTTGTGAATTAACTGTGTTATAAGGATTGTTTCACTTGTCATGCAAATAGAGACATTTCTAGCCTGGTTTTCAATAGCTATTAATACGGAACAGCAGTGCTAGAAAATTTATACGCATACATTTTTGTGCAGGGACCCACCGGAGATTCAGTGGGTCAGAGCAGATTCAATTAATTGAGTCTGCTCTGCATGCAAGCTGACACGCACTGAGCTGTGGTGTGTGCATTTGTGTAAGTAGTGAAATGTGCATCCATGCACAGAAAATGATGGTGGTTCACTTTTGAACCAAAGCACCTCCAATGCGTCTTAGTGCAAAAGAGCACCACCACCATTTTCTCAGCGTTGATGGGCATGCACCGTTAACGGGTTATACAACTGCATGCACCACAGCGTTGTGCACTTTTCAAAGCATGCGCCACTGAGGCTTGTGCACCCTATAGGAAGAAACCAATGAAGGAAGAATCCTGCTGTTCACATGAAAGTAAAGCAAGGATTTAGGGAGGCAAAATGTAATTAATCTAATCAGAAATCTTCCAGAGCAATGAATAAAAGGGAATGGCAAGTCCCCTCTTTTCACTCACAGGATTCCTAAATCAGTTTAGATTAGTAGACCATGTTTATGCCAGATACTTTACAACAAAATTATATTAACATTTTTGCAGTAACAGTTTGTGTGATGTCTCTTCCTAACACTAAACAGTACTTGACTTTTGCTCTGAAACCTTAGGATTTATTATTTATAGAAAGAGTTGGTAGTAACCTGCATTGGTAGCATTGCCAATCGAAAACTTGAGAACAATTCTTGTTTTCAGTGGGCATGTCTACAGGAGACATTTACTCTAGTTGCCTCTGCAGTAAACATCTCACATCTACACATGCAGTGCAGAGGAAACTAATTAACTTCACAGTTATTCCACAATTCCTGATGTGGACTTTTTTTTACTCTGCAGCACTACACATGGAGATGGGGATGGAGCTGGCTGAGGCACAAGGGTGCTTCAGTGCAGGGGCTGCCTACCAGCTAGCCCCACACTGGAGCACCCTCATGCCCCAGCCAGCCCCTCTGCAGTGCATTGCGCTAGGTCAGAGCAGTCCCAGGCTGGCAGGCTGATCCCCAGGACCCCCTGCCAGTCAAGGCTACTCTGACCTGGCTGAACATGCTGTGCTTCTGGGTACACATGTAAATGGCATGCCCAGGAGCAATAAACCCTGCTGCAATAAGTGCCAGAGTTTATTGCTCCACATTAATTACATGTGTAGATGTGCCCAGTTGCTTGTAGCTATGCCAAAATGTAATCATTTAGGCAGAATTCTTACATGCCAACTATCTTCCTCAGGCTACACTTTCTTTTTTTAGGATGGTGGGGGGGCAGTGCAGGGGAAGGGAAGAACGGGTCAAAACTTAGCTACAGCAGTTCAGCCACTTCCAAGAAAAGACTAAGGAAACGTATATTGTTCTTTCCAGGTTAAAATTGTGTGGCCATCTTACAGTGCCCCCATATTTTGCATTTGACAAGGATGCAGCCTTTTGTGTGTGACTGAGTCCCTAAATCAATCATCTCACATGCAAATCAACCCAAATTTGTCATTTGGGAACAGAGTCCTCTGCCCCAGGTCCAAAACTGAGGGGCCAGGTCTGGCATGGGGGCGGGGCTGGGATGAGGCAGTGGGCCAGGATATGTAGGGGGAGAAGCCCCCACTGCAGGGAGCCCCCAGGCTGTGCAAATCCCAGCTGGTGGGGGGCGGGGGCAGAGGGCTCCATCCTCCCCGCCTGCCCCCCTCTGGGGCTGTCATGGCAACCAGTACTGGGAGCCTAGGGTTGGGTGCACCAGAGGGTCTGTGGTGACAGCAGGGGGTTGGGGGCATGTATCTGACAGCCAATCAGGGATGGCCCCACTTAGCTGGGCTAGGCTGCCCTTGGCAATGTCCTGTACGCTAGGAGGCATGAGGAAGTGCCCCCACCTTCTGGCCTGGCCAGTGCAAGCACTTGGCCCCCTTTTGCACAGAGGAAGCTGAAGGTGGAAGTCTGTTCCTCTGGGTCCATGAGAGTGCCTTTGGGAGTTGCTCTTTGATGTGTAGATAAGGCAGGATTCCTTCCCTGGTGGTGTCAGATGGCAGAAGGGCAGACAGGTGTAGAATCTTTCTTGTTGTTCAGCAATGAAGTTTAAATCCAAAATCGGCTAAAATTTGTCTCAGACCAACACGGCTACTAAATACACCCACTTAACACTACTTGTCATCATTATTCTATCTACATGGTGGACCAAGAAGGCAACAGACTAACCAGAGCTTCCTCTCAGAAGTCTACAGCAGAAGTCCTTTGAAAATTGAGGCCTATGCAAGTGGGAACAATCAAAACAATAACAAAAAATCATTTTTTGCCATTTCAATTTTTATTATTTCTATTCTATAATGTGCTGGATCCTGTGCACAAACAGGTTCTGCTCCAAAAAGCCCACAAGTAAAATGAGAAAAATAGACAACGAGGCCGGGAAAACCATAAAAGCAAAGTCATCAAAGTTATTTTGCATGGTCGTTACTTTTACTTGTGCCAAACACATAAACAAACAGCAATGCTTGGAGCACAAAGTGCAGTCCCAAGCTTTCTGGGGAGGATTCCCAAGAACTTCTATACAGTGTTCAGCAAAATGTGATCTCAAGTATACGTCTTGCTCGCTCATGCTACATTTTTATATGAGACTTGGGGGGAAATAAGATTTTCATCTCCAAAGATACTTATATAGCAGAAACTATTTAAAAAGTAGGCTTGAGAGGAAAGTCAAAACTTTAAAACAGGGTGGAGTAACTGGTTTCCCCTTGAAAGTCCAGAATCAGATCTAGTGACCCAGCATTTCACACCTGAGAATAATCAACCATTAAACTCTGGCTTGAAGGATGGTTCAGGACTGACACAGCTACTGACAAGAGCTAAATGTAGGAAGGGATCATTTTTAAAAAAACTACACAATAATTACAAAAATGGCCTAAAGACTAGAATACATGTATGTATGTGCAGCATCAGTCTTGGGCTTGGAGTTTACACCAGCAAGCAGTCCTGGGTGGTTTGAGCTCTCTGGCTCCTGGAACTTGGCTATATTTATCCTGGCTGAAACATGCTGTCAAGTGTGCCCTGCTCTTGATAAGGTGCAATTGATGACAAGAGTGAGGGGTCAAGGGGGAGGAGCAGGATTTCTTTAGTGGGGTCTCAAAAGTCTTTCGGTCTCATTCCAGTTTAGCATGCATCTTGGTTTCTAGGCACTACTGGGAGCTTCAAGAGACAAAAGTTCAAGATGCCAGAGCCTTCGAAGAAAGCAGGTAAGGACCACAACTAAGAGGCAAAAAGAGGTGGAGCACAGTCTGACTGAAAGAGTGATTTCCAAGCAGAGACGGTCTCCTTGTACTACAGAAGTGAGACAGCTTAGCTCCATTGTAATTGAAAAAACAAATAACAGATATTTTTAGCCAGCGACAAAGTATTTGGGGGAAAATAATAAGGAGAAAGTACCTTGTAAAGTTAATCTAAAAAAAAAAGCTAGATTCTACCCCAGGAAAATGAGTAATTATTGTCTCTGAAAACCTATGGTACAGAATTCATTCCAGAGGCTTTGAGTAAAGGGAAAGAACAAAAATTAAATTATTTTGTTCTCAAAATCTTATCACCACTCAGTTTCTCTACTAGGCAACTTCAGGCCGGTAAAAATGTGCATTCTCTCTCCCGGGAATTTTCTGGGGAGTAGAAGTAACTCCCAGTCCTTTTTCTGGGTATTTTCCAGTAAAATTTTTGGGTGTGAAATTTCCATTGTGAAGAGAAACTTCAAAGCATCTGATTAATATTTACTGTCTCTCAGAGACTCAGTTGTGTAATTCTGGCAAGTAAGTACACCCCAGCTCTGAAGAAATAGAGGGTATGCTGTAGATTTCATACATACTCCCTTCTTGACCTCCTCTACCTCTGAGCCTGCAGATAACTAGTCATCTACAAAAACCAAGGTCAAAACAGACTCTACCACAATTAAGGAGGGAGTTCAACCTCCCCCCATCCCCCCCAGAGTGAAACATGTGGAAGGGAACTGAGATGAGATTTAGGACATTCCTGAGAACCAAGCAGTTAGTCACAGGCCACCTGTCTATGCATGGAGGAAGAGAGTGATAGGTGGTATGGGAAGGAGGTGGAAATTGCAGGGAATCTGTCTGTGCAAGGAAGAGGAGACCCATAAAAGGTAGAGGTAAGTGAAGGTTGCTGTCTATGAGAGGGGAGAGAAAGAGGGATATTTGAAAACTCTGAGTTCATAATTAAATTTAGAAAAATAGGTATTAAAAGTTAAAGTTGTATCTGTTAGCAAATTGTGTACTGGGAACATGCAGCAGAAAATAGTACTAAGGCTGAGAGTGCACCTTGACTTTTACAGCTAGTCTCATCTCAGCGACATTGGTATAAATCCAGTGTTCCTGACCCTTGAGTGTGGTCCCTTGATGCGCTCCACAGGTGTGTTTGTGCTGGAGTGTGCATGTTAGATACTGTTTAAAAACAAGCACTTCACAGGGGGTCAGTAGCATGTGACTGGTGTTTCTCAGATGCTGTATGCCTTGGTACCCTTTAATAAAGCCCTGAATTGGCATACATCTGCTGTTATAATAGCTAGGGAGGATTTTTTTCCATCATGCCCACAGTTGCCAAATTGCTTACCTATATTAAGGTGAAAGGAAGGATGGCCCATTGTTAGAGGTCCTAGCCTGAAACCTGAGGGACCCTGATTCCATTCCCTGCCCTGCCTTGCCACTGACATCCTATGTGAACTTAAGCAAGTCCCCTGGTCATCTTCTTCATGGAGGAAGTATGCTTCTCGTGGGTTCCACCAGATTTCTTGTGATCTGACATTCCTCTAACATGGTTGACACTGAGTAATGGATACTGAATGATTTAAGAAGGGCTTTCACTTTTGGTTGGAATACTTGGTATTAGCTACTGCAGAAGGCAGGATATGACTCAAACCTAGGTTTGCTCTACAGAACTGCAAAACACTTAACTACTGGATTACTTAAATAAGATTTTCTAAGTTCCTCTTTCACTATGTCTCTGAAAGGAAAGCACTGTTGCCAACTCTTGCAATTTTATCATGTCGTAAAGTATTTGGTGTTTTTCTTGAAAGTCAAATGACTGGAATCAGGTGACCATGAAATTCTGGCTCTCTTTTACAAAATAAGCACATTTCCAGCCCTCAGGGCTGAAGAGAAAAGCTTAAAAATATAAATCCTAAAGTCTCAAGAAAACCAAAAGATAAAAATACTCCCCAATTTTATTATTTAAAAAATCTCATGATTTTTAGGCAATGTCAAATCTTTTTGATACCTGCCTTATGCTTTCCAAATGCTTAGAATAGGCAGTAATGGGAAAGAGAAACATGATGACAAGCAATACTTGCCATAGTCTCCTCTCCCAGGTTGCGTAGCTTCAGAATTATCAGACTTCATCATGCCTTTGTCTGAGCAAATCCATTTCTGAATTTTAAAGTACTTTTCACCATAATCACTAAATCCTGTATATGGATTAACGTTCTGAGGTAGGAGACACTTGACCCTCTGTCTTGCTGTAAGGCTACCCAGCTCTGCCACTTAATGTGGAGGAAGAACACACACATTATTTCCAATCTTATTTGACTCTCTGAGCTATTTCATGGCTGTAACTCTGTGCAGCTCTTATCTCTGGCCAGTAGTTCTAAACCTTTTTAGACTCAAGGCACACCCTGTTAGATTCAAGGCACCCCTCAGAAAATGCTACCTAATATCTATTGGCATTAACTTATTTTTTGACTATGGAAAAAAATAGAGCAATTCTTCTGTTGGAAAGAATTCTAAAAGAACACAGCAGGTCAAAATATTTTTGACACTATAGAGTTTTATTTGAAATCTTGGGTTTATCTTGTGAATCATATAGGCATTTGTACATCTAACAGTGACACCCTGCAGCACCCTGGTTGAGAATCATTGGCTTAGACAAAGACGGTACAAAAACTGTGATTAATCCCAGGGCAGAAGGGGGATGGGAGGGGAGGGGAAGGGGAAAAGGAAAGGTCCAATGCCTAATTCATTTATAGAAAACCTAATCCAAATCTGTCAGATAATTCCTGAAAAGAATCCCTGCAGTCTCAAGAAATAATAGTGCTGCCAGTTCTCCATTTCATTGTGTTTCAATACTTCAGGGCATTTTGATACAGAATAATGAAGAATATAAATTTGAGTTGGCCTGCACAAGCACAAAGATGGAAGCTATAAGGAGTTTATGCCCTTGAGCAAATCAAATTTCCTGCCTTTGGCACTGTTTATAAATTGCACTAAGAACTCCAAAGAGCCATGATCCACATTTCACAGAAATAGGGACATCCTGTGCCCTGGTCAAGGGAAGTGCCTTGAAGCCAGAGAATGTTCAAGGGCTTATACCCAAACCAGCTGTCTGACCAATCTTTTCAACATGGAAGAAAGTTTTTAATAATTTAAAACTGTAACCTTTAAGTAGATTTGTAACACATTCCTTTATTTCCAACTATTCAATAAAAACATTTCTAATACAAAGTATCATTTTGCTTTTTCCGTAGAATTACAAACAATCAAAGAGATACTGCTCTATAGAAAAATCTATTAGCAGTGTTTAGAACTTCTGTTGTGATTTATGGTTTCAAATTGACCTAACAAATATTGTGTAATATCAGCCCTAGATACTTTAAACCAATGTGGAAATAACCTCTAGTTGAAACCAAGTCACCGATGCATTACTGAATTAAATGTAATTGTATTAAGCCAAGGGGGAAACACATTTTATTAAAATAAAATAAGCACCATTTCATGGTTCATTGTTGTATATAAATATATTTATGGCATACCATGTCTAGAATCATAGCACTGATTTATAATTGTCCTATAATAGATATTTCCCCTAAAAATAGATGTAACAAACTTTTAAAAAAATCCCCAATCTTTTCACAAAAATGAATCTAACATTTTTCCCCCTTGTTTTCCCTATATATGAATAAAGTAAAAACTGGTAGAAAGTCTTAATCTTACACTCAGGACTCAGCATTGTCATGCATGGGTCAGTGAGTTTTAAGTTCTGATATCTCATAGCTTGTCATGGCTAGAAGCATATTTGGAATCTGCTTGGAATCCATCTGTTGCAGTGACACATGCAGCATTAATTTCTAGGCTGTCCTAGGCATGAAATATCAGACTTTAATATTAAAAGAGTCTTACGTATTTAAAACCAGTTAATATCTGTTTTAGAAGTTTTAGAAGAGTATTAATATTAACTTATCTGTACATTAATGGGTTCATATCCTCAGCTGGTAAAAGCTGGTGTAGCTGGCAATCAGGCTATGCCAATTTATACCAGTTGAGTATCTGCCACTCCTGGTAAGTAAGGAAACTTGTATTTACAGGAGTTAAGAGAAAAATATGGTACAAAATGGACAATTAAAAAAATTCTAAACATTTCCAAAATGCCTTAAAAATATAGGATAAATAAAATGCCTCTTGCTATGGCATGAAAATTTCATTCATGTTTTTTATGCACTGATAATTAAAACTTGACTTTGACACCAACATAATTAACATAGTACAAATGCCTACATAAAGAAAACCTTATATCACACCACTGTATGGTGTTATAGCAGTTGTGCCTGCTATAGTTAAGAGTGCTAAATATTTTCCATTTTACCCATTTTTGTGTGTGCAGACTTTTCTTTCATCCGCTGGTTTTAAACTTTTCCTAATTGGTCTCTGCTCAAAAGCAGAATTTTTTGGGAAGTGTTAAGTACAATCCCTTTGCCTTTTGTGGTTATGAGAAAAATAAGAAAAGAGGTGAAAAACACCAACCATTCCCCTTCTAATATTTTTGTGAGAACAACAGAAAACAGTCAAACTTGTACTAACCACGCTTGGAGTGCTGACATCGGGGGTGGGGGGTGGGGGATGCTTTACTGGAAGAAGCAGCACATTAGTTTGACCCATCTCCACAGCATTTGTAATAGATCGGGTGCTTCGGTGGGGTTTTTTGGCACTTTTATCTAATAGCTGATTCAATCAGCTATTAGATAAAATTGTCATAAAAGCCCTGCCAAAGCACCCAGTCTATACAGATGTTGGGTGAGCCAGGTCTAAGTAATGCACTGCCTCTTCTGAACATACCCTGGGCTTGGTACAGGGGCGCACAGAGTTTAAAGTAAAATGCCGTTTATGAGGGGTTTTTTACATCTGTAAGCCAATGTATAAGTAGGCCTCAATGAGAGGCCTCAATGCACTTTGAGGTTGTTTAACACCCCTGA